ATCAAAATGGATGTTGAATGTTGAATAAAACTCATAATGAGTAAATCAATCGAAAATTGATTTTTCTTTCCAACATATCAACAATAGTTTCATTTTCGACATATCTAAACCCAAAACAACTTATCTTTAGAACTCAAGGTATATTTTGAAGTGGATCGCTGATTATTTGACTACTAGTATATTTGAGAGGGTTTCGTAGAAATTCCTTTTATGATTAGATTTTATCCATCACAGATGATCGCTGCAAACTAAATGAACTTAGGAACACAAACCACTGGATGCCAACTCAGTAGTCTACACGTTAAGGGTTGACTTAGAGACTTAAAGGCCCTGGGCTCGATACCTGTTGAGGTTGTGAGAGAACATTTTTGAGGAGTCTCGTATTTAGATGAACTAGGTATCCACTTCCTCCTAGTTTTAATGGAACGCCAGCTGAGAACAATTTGTGATAAATAAATTCAACAAAAAAACTTTATTTTTGCATGAAACGTGAAAGCAGAGTGTATTTGGGTTACGTAGATCAACCTACGTAGAGTAAATGACTAATAACCCTTCGTTTAATAGTTTATAAATTGACAGAGGTATAGATTTTTCCCTCATCACAAACATTATTAACGACTAAAGTTGAAATAAGAATAACTTACGCATTTAAAAATATTGAATTCACGTCTTCATGACTAACAATTGGCTTTTTCGAACTCGCAGCCATACGAAACGGTCTCAAGTAACAAGTGACTAATATAGACAATTGTTGAACATATTCGTCTTCGCATTCAACTAAGCCAAATACAATACTATTACGTCGACGCATTGATTCAGCATGATCTGATCGAATGTATTCTTCAACAATTTGTTTCCATCGGCGACGACATAACCAACCACGAAAGAATGATTGCACCTTAACCGTATAATAAGGTAATGTACATGATGGAAATAAGCGAAAAACAGAATGAATTAGCACAATATATATGAAACGTTAAATAATCATTTACAATTGTGAAGAGGATATGTTTCTTTATTCATGATTTTTCCTGATATGAATAATCATGTCATCTTAATTTTCAAAATATGAACACTTATGGATAGACAATATCTAGAATTGGAATCCGGAATGTATGTTTTACATTGAGATTGATCACCTAGATAGTTATTCATTTTACTTCTAATGTTCATGCCTAACCTCAAGCTCAGTACCTGTGGCTTCAGATGACAACTCATTATCCATCAAAACTACTGAATTCGGATAGCCACAAATGTGTCCAGTTAGTAAAATGTTCATATTAATCGTAGTAAGCCTTTGAATTACCCTGTTGTCAATATTCAGGACTAAATTTCGACCTCATACAGTATCCCAGTAGATATTGTGTCGACATTTGATGAGAAAGACAGTATGTTTGAGGCCTAATATGAACATCAATACTGGAATTCATGTAGATCCATTTGTCTAATTTCAATTAAAACTAATGGTGAGTCATGAATACCACTGTTAGCCAGAATCCATCTATTTTATAAATATTTCGCATATTGTTCCATTTATTCCCAGCAATATTTGTCACTTAACTTGAACTGGTCGAAGTCATAAAAGCAAAACGGAATACACCAATCTAAGTTAAATGATCTGGATGCTCGAATGTAATAATTACACCTGAAGTGAATGAAGTAAATGTCTAGTATGAAAGTCGGACTATTTTATCTCACAATACATGCTAGTAAATGTCATACTTAACCTTTGAATAACTACATTTTCCTAAAGATAAAGTGTCTATTAATTTTCAATGATTATTTCAGTTAGGGAGGCTCCCAGTAGGTGTGACGAAGCCTACACAACCTCTAAAGCAGCCGTTGAGATTCTATCTAATAAAAATCTGACGGGACTATCTAGAATATCAGCGTGAGGTGGTATGATTGGAAGGCTGTGTGAACTTTCTACTTGAGGATTAACTGGATTATATTAATGTTGTAGCGTATTACCAGGAATTGTAAATACACTTGTTTTATCTGTACACTTTTGACACCTACTCAACAAATGCTTCTCCTGCTTTCTTCTGACTTTTCGATTTGAAACTATGGGTCCTATAAGCTTTTGATGCCAAAGTCGCATGCTGCGTTAGCCGAAATCAAGTAGAGGACGTAAAAATTTCATGTTACACTTTTACAAATCGCAAATAGAAGGATAACTGAACGAATAACAATCCACTAAATGTAGTTTTCCACCTTCATATATTTGTTGAAAACAACTGCCTACTTACTTTGAGTAATAGTAGTAAAGTCTTATCCTTCTGCTTTTTGGTTGTTCAACATTTCAAGTACATGTGAGACTATTTTTCCTGAGATTACCCTCTAATATATATAGCATGTTCAAACGTTTTCGGCTCTGGTTATCTATCCATGAAAGATGAGGTCAGTAAAATTATGTGCGAAAATAATTGAAGTATTCTATTCCCATTGCCGAGATCATAACAAATGTGATTTTTATAGTCTACAATATAAAAATGATCTTGAGCAGACCAGTGATGGAAACCAAAATCCAATGAGCATCTTTTTCTTCATGATATGAGATGTCTCCCAACCTGAAATCAAGCCCATAGCCTTTACATCTTGTTGAGACTATTTAACTTTAAGTAACTAATTTCGAGAAATCACGAATTGTGACCAGTATAGTTCACTCATATCTAATGTGATCCATTTGCCTACCGATAATATTGGATGAATCGATTAAAGTAACATATGTAAACCGTTGGATAATAACTCGGTGTCTAAGCACTCGCCTCATGACTTGAGCTTCTTCGTTTTGACTACCGGTGGTCATAGACGTGCACCACTGCGGAATCCCATACTGGAGCAAAACACCTGTTCAGTTATTTCTGGCTTCTGCTGGTAGTCTAATTAAGACCAATCAATGATGTAAATGGTGAAATTCAACTGTCTATACAAATCCTCTACACGAAGACATAATTTGTATTAAGTATAAACAATTGCAAATTGAAGAGAATCAAACATATATGTACATCATCAGAAGGGGTTTTGTGGATATTATAGTGGTTTCAATCGTTGAAATCATGAGTCAGTTGAAGCTAGACCACCATGGAAAACCTGGAAGCACTGGACGGCGGTTTTGTCCTAGTATGGGACTTTTCAGTAATGCTCATGTACATCAATTAAAATCTGAATGAAACATTTGACAGGAATTAGGAGTCAATTATATAGTAGACGTCATATGTAAAATATCATACTTGAATTAATCATAACTAATGAATCTTAAATAACTTCAACACTTCTCCCGGCAAATTGATCCTCTTCAGCTGAGATTATGTACATATAATGTTTTATGAAAACCATAGTTTAAACTAATACAAGATTACTCAACCACATCATGTAGATGGTATGTAGTGATAGGTCTCCTGTTTAAAAATTCGTTAGTTAAGCAACGTTTATAGGAAATCGTCTGTATTTTAAGAAAGATTTTATTTCATACATACAGTTGCAACAATGATCATGATAATCCTAAGAAAGTTTCAATCAAATGATGAATAGGTACTGTTCAGAATATTGTCTAATTGATTCGAGGCAGTTAATGAACTTGGCTTTCATTTTTGTTGATGCTTATCAATAAGGCAAACTTGCATTCTAGAGAGAAATCAGTATTCCATATGAGTTCGAACCCAAATCACTGAGATTCCTAATCTGAAACTTTACCACTGAATCATTTGAGTCTCAGTTGACTTCCTTCAGGACTAGACCGGTGGGTTTACATCTGTACAAGGCAAATATGACATAAGACACCATTCAATAATTGATCGATGTACAATTGAGTATCCTTAGATTCCTTTTAGAACCAGATATGTTACTTTGTAGTAAATGTCATGTATATTGTTAAGATGCTTTAAAAATTCGAAAAAAACCATAAAAACACCTGATAAAACGGTGGTTTTCCCTTTTTAAATATAATTCCAGTTTACAATTATTTGATCATTGAATAGTAACGAATGTCATATGTATCAAGTTGTTCCGAGTGTTGGTAATCGAATTCAGTCTAGCAAGTTGTAATGCAATCATTATTGTCAGTGACTCAACATCATGTGCATTGAGTTGAGATGACAGACAGTGGTTAAAGGTAATCGACAGTAAAACAGTAGACTTTATATTACGAAGAAATAATCTTTGAATGCTAATCAAGTGATTGAATTTCGTAGATATATTCAAATTCCAATCTTACAGGAATCATCTGTATAGGGTTGAGGAGATTATTAACCTTTTGATTGAAATCATGAACCAATTGATTTAAGACCACCATTGAAAACCTGGAAGCAGTGGATGGCCAGTTCTTCTTAGTATGAGACTCATCAGCAGTACACATCCACGACTCCACTCGCGGGATTCCAACCCAGGGCCTTCAGTCTCGCGCGTGAACGCTTAACCTCTAGACCACCGAGTCTGCATCTAACGGTGTTAATGTCTTACCTCAACCAATACACGAAATTACGCTACCATCTCCCATTGTACTGAGATAGATATCTGTCACTACCCGACACGGATTAGCTTCACTGGTCACAGCTTCTCACTAGAACTCCGAGAATTCCTTCACGAAGCTAGTCACTAACGAGCACATGGTAATTATCAGTATCGATTCTCACAAAATTGTTGATGCACCTTGTTAATAAGAGCGTCAACTAGCACAAAAATACAGATCATACAGGATTTATTTCCAATTCTTTCCGCAATAACAAAAAAACACCTTGATCTACTGTTTCTTTTCATTTCTGTTTAATCAGTAGGAAAGATAAGAAAAAAGCAAGAAAGAACCAAGGGATTGAAGGAAAGGATAAGTAGTGTGATAAATATATGTATCTGTCTGAAGAAGTGCATCATTTCGTCATCATGATCATCATCAACAACAGCAACAACAAAAACAAAACTCATCACCTTCACTATCCCATTTAAATTCGATAAAATGATTTTTCCCCTTTTATGATTTCATGATGTATGCAGAATTTATTGTTACATTTTGGGAACAAGAACAAATGTCTATACGCATATTACATAATAACAATAATAATAATCATCTTTATTATTAACATGATACCTTTTTAATTTTTCTCAACTCTTCTGATTCATTTTCCAATTCTAAATTAAATCGACGATCAATGCGATATTCATTGAACTGAAGATAAAGAAAAACAAACCAATAGAAGAAAATTGACGAAAATATACGAGGAGAAGAAGATGAAGAAGATGAAGAATCGAAATGTTTTTTACGTTCATTTGAAATAATGAAAGAATATAAAAGAAATATCAAGGCAATCTGTATAAGATACATGTTATAATTTGTTGTTAAAATGCTTATTGTCATGGCTCTTTTACTGCTATTTTATGTATCTGGTCGTTGCTGATTGTTATGTTGGAAACGCTTATCACTCATACTCGGATCTAGGGACCTCTGCAATTCCCACGACGTGAAAGTAAAAACACAAAGACTGCTATAAGTGATGAGTTATTAACTCCAATACACTATGACGACGACGACGACAACGACTCAAGTCGAAAATACACTTATTTATATATTGATTGTACACCCATTGTGATTAATAATTAGGATGAAATCACATACTCAGTTATAACAAATCACAGACTGTGAGCATAGTTCATGTCAATGGAATACAAGAGTATCTCGCATATTATGATAAAGAGTAAAATATCATACGAGAAAAGAAAACAACTACTACATTGAGTAATCATTACATTGAATCAAAGTGGAAGTAATCTTGAACAAAACTCATAATGAGTAATTCAATCGAAAATTGACTTTTCTTTCCATCATATCAATACAAAGTGAATTAAAACTTTACCATATTGTACAAGCTATTGGATATCAGGACTCAGTTGCTAAATGGATAACATGGTGGTGTTTGAATCGAATGGTACTGGGTCCGAGTCTCGGAGTGGACATGAGCTTTGGGATGCATGTACATCCAGCTGACGAGTCCTAAATAGGATGAAATGCGCGTCTTACTAGATTCCACTGTTAATCATTATCCATTTCTGCTTGTAGTGATTGTGACTTAAGACAATATCGAGACAATCCGTATAAGATGTACGTATGCCATTAAGAGACTGATCAATCTCAGTACTAAACATCGATGGGAAGATTCAAACAACCAATACAAAAACAAATTACAATATGATATATATAGTTAAATTTACGAAGCCTATTAGGCTAATCTCGAAGTGTTGTTGTATCAATATGAACGGATGTTATTTGGAGGGAGTATATTATTGAAAATGAATATTTTAATCGAATGAGTCTTGTGAAGATAGATTTAGTTTGTAAGTTCTAGTTTTTTTCCCCAGAGATTTATCACATTTGAGGTATTATTAAAAACTAAGAAGAACTGAACAGCTATTGAGTCCTAGTATGGAGATCTTCTGCAGTGTATACTGACAACCTTTACTGGAGTTGAATCCAGGACCTTCACATTTTATGTCGAACACCTTACCATTAGAATCATAAGGATGGGATGCAATGATAAAATTTCAACTTTAGTCAATATGCAATATAGCGTGACGATTGTCTATTGTCATTGTTGATAACTGTTTCATTTTCAATGTGTCTAAGCTTCAGCAGTGATGACGTCTCAATAGATTTTCTAGCACATCTTGAATTAAGTAACTAGTGAGATGACTGGTATAGTTTACTTGAAATGGTTTTGTGAAGGTTAATTTTAATTTTAGGCTGGATACATCTCTAACTGATTTCAGATGGGAACCATTGATAGACCAGGTTTAACTAAATGGATCTTTTTTGGACCAAGTTTGTAAAATCTATCTCAATGTTCAACTTAAACCTCACCAGTGGTTGAGCTTCAGAACCTTCATATCTCTCAGTAAATATAACACCGACTTTAATCCTTTAATGTGGAACTCAATTATTTATACCTTCGCATTCAGTCAGTTTGTAATACAGTATGATACAGTGATGATTATCTGACTCATTACAGAGTTCCTTTAAACAGGTCATAACTTATCACTATGCTATGGAGGAGAATTCTCGGGTTCTGTGGAGGAATGTTCGTTTTTTAAGATAGTGGAAAAGGGTGCTAATCGTTAAATGAAATGTAGTGACAGAATGTGGCTGATTGATAGCTGCTCACTAGACCGAATTATCAACGTAAAGAATCAAATGAATTTGTATCAGAAGATTAAAACTGACCGATAGAATGGGGTTTGATTTAATGGACTAACTTGTCTGTACGCAAAATATTAAAAACCAGTATACGACAATTACTTAGCTAAGTGGTTTGAGATAAATCTGGTTTTCGTCCTGGATATAGACAGTAAAAACGAAGAAGAAAATTAATTAAGGTCGGAAATGTGTGGATTGTTGAACTCACATTAAGATAATTTAAAGGATATAAGGCTCTCATTACAAGATTTGTATGTTATAATGATATGGTCATAAATTCAGGCTGTTGAAAAGACCCACATCAGGATAAGACATAACTTCAGAGTCCTTCATAGTTCTCATATGTTCCTTGGGAGGTTTCAATTCATATCAAAAACTATATTCGAATTCGATTAATTTCTACAATTTACTAAACTAATTAATATAGATTCATTTTTGGGGGTTATATTAGCAAAGATTCCTCAGTCAATCCAATTTATATGAAGAGATGATCTTAGTTGTACAACCAGTGAAAATCAGGAAGCATCGATTATTTGTCTCCTTCTAGTACGGAACAGCAGTTAAGATATACTGTGTTATCCATTTGTGAACTTATAGGAAGTAGGAAGGAATTCAATAACTTCAATGAATAACTTTACAACTGGATCAAGTTGTTCAAACTTGAGGTGATATCAAATATAAAGGGGAACAACGAAATCAGAAAAAAAATTCAACTTGGATAGTTGAAAGTAGTCAGTGTGAAATCTTCATATTCACATCGCGAATAGCTTAATGGTAATGTTTCCGACTATAAAGCTAGACGATCTAGCATCAATTCCCTCGATATTTAAGGATGTGTGTCTCGTAGCAAAAAACCTAGGTCCTCGGTATCCTGATGACTAGCACTAGTCACACGACATCGAAATAGAATGCACAAAATGCTGAATTACTTATGTAGTGAACGAGAAATCAGGAAGGGATAACCCGATTACAGAATATCTTTGTAAAATATGAGAACCATACATTAAATACTTCATTTACAAATTCCCATCATTTGTTCTTTATATTCTGTGTGATTCTTCTACTTTACAATTCTTTTCTATTATCTTTTCTACTTTCTTCAACTCGATTTCTTTAGCCTCCTGCTTCCATGCATCCCGCTTCTGATTAGTGTTATATACTACTTATACTTGTCGATACAAGTAGCACACACCACCATACTTATATCCTTATTTATTTATTTATTTATTTGAACACATAAATATTGGTACAAGGGGGCACCAGATATATATGCGCTACACAAAACAATCAGAATGGGAAGAGAAAAAGAATGTAAGGTACGTGTAAGAGAAAAAAGAGAGGACAATAAAGACCACAGATTAGTGTATGGTAGTGTAATAATTGTAATAATAATGGAGGGAACGGAAAGGTACAACCAGAAAGAATTCCTTCAGTTAAGGAAGTTACAACCACTTCTTATGAGGAAAGTAAGGGAAGGTTACAGCAGGGTCGCCACTAGCTTCTATTCTGAGCCATATCTGATAACGTCTCTAGCCACTGTGTCGCACCATCTCTCGGACCCCAGCCAGGGTATCGTGAAGGACCAACACAGGCCAGCTTTTTGCAGCTTTCTTTCATACCACGAAATCATGTCATACAATGACCACCTCTCCACTTTTTCCAACCAGTCCGAGCGTCGGCAAATAATGCACGACGTGGAATTCTTTGGGATGACATCCGTAGAACATGTCCAAGCCACCGAAGTCGATGTTTCGGGATGGTGGAACCAATTGGATTATCGTCTCTGCGCCCGAACACACGATGCCGAACCTCTGCATTATTAACATGGTGTTGCCACTGGATGTCAGCAATCCTTCGGAGACAGGTATGACCGAACACAGAGACTCGTCTAACGTCCTCAACTCGGAGAGGCCAGGTTTCACAAGCATAGAGCAGAACTGCTCTCACCGACGCGTTGTAGATCCGGCCTTTTACAGCCAGACTAACATCACGAAGGCGCCAAAGGTGGACCAGATTGGCATAAGCCGCTCTGGCTTTCACTATATGTGCATTGATCTCATCACTCACGCCACCACCAGCACTTATGCAGCTACCTAGATACACGAACTTCTCGGTTACTTCTATCTGCTCACCATCCAGGGTGAGTACAGGATTAGGATCCTGCCAGTCTTGTAGAAGTACTTTGCATTTCGAAGGTGTGAAGCACATACCATACCTACGGACACTGATTGCCAACTGATTAAGTGCGGGTTGTATGGCTTGGGTATTATCGCACAGTAAGACAATATTATCCGCATACTCAAGGTCGAGAAGTCTTTCTCCGGGTAACAGATCCACACCGCCATTACTTACATCCATCACAGCTAAAAATACTGTTCTTGTTCCAATTCAAAATACTTATATTCTAAATGAATACATTTTCAACCTAATCCATATGACTCAGTCAGTACAAATGTATTATCCAATTGTAAAATTCAACTTACTTCATACTTTAATTGTTTTATTTCAGCGGTTAATTCTTCAATTTGTTTAACATAATGCCATTTAGCTCGTTGTTCTGTTTCAAGTATTTGTGATAAATGTAATTGTTTCTGTTCAGCTTCTTGTTTTAATTCTAACAATTTACTGAAACTAAGAAATAAAATATATTTTATTTGAAAAGAGAACAAAGACCAATGAACAAAACGAAAGAAATTGATCTCTTGTTCGATTAATTTATGAATATAAATTTTTGATCGATTAAGAATTAGCACTTTACTACTAATGTGTTGAATAAGTAGTAGATAGACTCAATTGAAAATAATTCGTATAAGGTTGTAGAGATTATTAAGTTTTTGATTGAGATCATGAACCGATTCATGTTAAACCACCACTAAAAACCTGAAAGTACTGGGCGGCCTTGCTCACAAGTAACTAGCTTCGTGAGGGAATTCTCGGAGTTCTAGTAAGAAGCTGTGACCAGTGAAGCTAATCCGTGTCGGGTAGAGACAGGTATAAATCTCAGTACAATGGAAGATGGTCGCGTAATTTCGTGGATTGGTTGAAGTCAGACAATAACCGGAACTGATTGGTTTCTAGATTTCAGATAGGTATAGTATAAACACATTATAAAAAAAGCTTTCGCTTGTGACGTGCGGTGTCCAAAATCTGATACTGATACATGATATACTAAGCGCTAACCCTCCACTGACTACTTGACTGAAAACACAAGATTGAGTGAGAAAGTGCATTGGACTGCCGAATGAAATGCAAAAATATTCATTCATACATATATATACCACTCTATCGTTAAGAAAACGATCCACCGACCTCAATGAAATGTACTTGACGTTTGAGCTATTTCTGATTGCCATCGATTGACCTTTTGCTGTTTTTAATTGGCTCTCCATATCACTTTCCCACTTGTTTGATGTTGAATTAATCATATATTTAGTTCAACGGTGATCCTCATAGTACAGCTTTTAATGATGGTATTTTGTTGTCGGATATGCAGCAAACTTTCCAATTGCAAATCATACACCGACAATCCAGTTTACAGATAATGATTATTGATTTAAAGTTCACTTTTTTATCAGTAATACTAACTGATAGTATCATAAGACTAGTAACTAACTGCCAACCTAGATCGACACTGAAATGAATCAGAGCACTTTGCTCTTCCTTGATTTAACCTAACTTCCTTACTCCTGTTACTCCCAATAGAGCATAGGCCACCGACCAGCATTCTCCAACCCACTCTGTCCTCGGCCTTCCTTTCTCATTCTATCCTATTCTCGTTCATTCTTCTCATGTCTGTCTCCATTTCTCGGCGTAATGTGTTCTTTGATTTTCCTCTTTTCCTTTGGCCTTGAGGATTCCATGTGAGGACTTGCGTTGTGATACAGTTGGGTGTTTTCCCCAATGTGTGTCCTATCCACTTCCAGCACTTCTTCCTGATTTCTTCCTCCGCTCGAATCTGGTTTGTTCTCTCTTATAGTAGGTTGTTGCTGATAGTGTCTGGCCAACAGATCCGTAGCATTTTGAGTATACAACTGTTAATAAACACTTATGCCTTCTGGATTATGCCTTTCGTAGTTCTCCAGCAAATAAGCATGAAAACAATTTGAATCAATATATTAAAACTTCAATTCATATTTAGGTTTTTCACGGGCTTATTATCTTTAAAATGCTTGTAGTCGTTTTTGTTTTTCATTTCGAACTAAAGTTCTTTTCAGTATAGTCACTTATTGGCTTACTTATTTACGCTTGAATTCATTTATATATGTTATTATAGAATAGTCTGTAAATCAATTTTCATAGTCATGACAGTATATGTGACCTAAGTCATTGAAATATCGAAGGTACTGTATTATGAGACAAGTATCCTATCATATTTTCTAAAGTGTTAACACAATACATAGGAATCTCACAATAAGATGAAACAGTCGTCCTAGTGCTTCCAGGTTTTCCATTCTGGTCTAGCTTCAACTGACTCATGAATTGAACTATTGAAATGACAATATATAGGTGTTTATTATTCTGACATACATAAATTCAATTGAGAATAAACTTCATATTGTCAAGTCATCTACATGCACCGTAGTCAGTAATTACAATTATGTTTTCGTTTACTCAATCACTCAATTGTAAATATATTTTGGTATAATTTTCATTATAGAAATGATTGGAGGCATATCTTTTGCGATATTGTAATTTTTCTTTCATCATAACTGACTGAGCTTCACTTGACACATCCATAGCATGATGTAATGGTGACATCGTTGTAGAAAACTACATTTTTTCATGTGTTTCAACCAAAAATGACACAGGATGAAACACACGCTACATCATGAATGGTTGCCAGGTGCCAGGTCAACATCTTGAATGAAAATGGGGTTTATCCCTACTCATTAGTTGGTATCCGTTTTTTCGATCTCGCTCGAAAATCAACCACTCAGTACTAACACCTTATTTTAGTCAATACAACAATACAACGATCACAGGAAACTGTTGAAAGAACATATTATAAAAGTAGTCACATTATGAGCTTTAAAAGTTTTGGGGTACTTAATCCGATGGAGATTGATACAAGACATCATTTATTTATGTATGTTACGTTTGGAGAAGTTTAACTTCATGTTAAATAATATCAGATAATCGATTCCTAGGTTTCTTATTTAAATCAATTTAAACAAAGATAAATTTAAAAACAAGTGGATTTCTGGTTAGCCATAGAACCCGGGATTCATGTTTCATCCTATTCAGAACTTATCTGTTAGCTATGTATTCTGTTAGATCCTGACGAGTATTATGAATGGTGACTTTTGGGAACTATTTCTGGATCAATGCGATAAATATATTTTTATTGTATAATTGTGAAGTAACTATACTATGCATATTCATATTCCCCTTATTATAAGCTTTATTTTGACCCATAGATTATTATTATTATACGATTTACCGTTCGAGAGTTATACCCATTCTATTAATTACTATCTCCCACATTCACATTCACTTTTGGTTAAATCTTGTACAAATGTTGTTTCCTATTTTATGGTACAATGTGGTCTGTTTGATTGGTATATAAACCTAGTATGTTTGAAATATAAGGATTCATATCACAGAGGCTGAGATTGGTGTTCTAGACTCTAACTAAGAGGTAGGGCTAGGAGAGAAGGAAGACCGATAAGGACTCTAGAGTGCTCGTACGTGTTTTATGTGTCACTGATCCAGTTGATAATTCACTGTTCTCTGATTCACGGTATCATTAATTTTCATCACATTAACAGGACATAGGGCACAAGTTATAACTATCCTCCCGTTCCATTTATTCGAAACATTTTTCTGTTAGAATGTTTAAATCAATGCAGTTCGCTTAGAGAAGGAAATATATCACGACTAATCAAAGATTCAATCTTGAATATTAACTATGGAATAATTTAAACCTGTTAACAATATTGATAATATATATTACAAAAATTTTGTTCAGGGAACTTAAGATTCATTTCATTAACGCTTGTCTAAATAGTAGCGTGGTGTGTGCTACTTATATCAACGTGAGTAGTATATAACGATAGTCAGAATTAGAATATTTGGCAGCAGAAGGTCGAGAAAAAACGAATGGGAACACAAAGCAATTAGTATGGAAATGCAGGAACAATGAAGTCTGAGACGATTGACTGATATTTGCAAAAGGAACAGTTACGTTTGAGACAATTGATGGATATTTTGCAAATGAAGTATTCACTGTATGCTACTCAGATTTTACTAAGATGTGCTGTAATTCTGCATTGAGATACATTCAATTGTCCTTGTTTGTGTTCTCTTTCACTACAGTGTCAGTAGCTAAACTGAAATCACTTGGCAAAACACTATGTTGATGAGTTAAAATGGAACTTAACTATCACTACAAATCCTCTATACTGATAACTTTACACTACTACTGTAGTGTGTGCTACTGATGTCAACAGATAAAAGTAGTATGTATCATCAGTCGAAAGTGAAGTACCTGGAAACAGAAGGATGAGAAAATCAAAGAGAAAAGAACCTGAGCAAAGAATAATTAGTGTGGAAACGAAAGAACAATACAGGTTGAGACGATTGATTGACATTTTACAAATGAAGTATTCACTGTATCATTCTCAGATTTTACTAAATAAATCTATAATTTTGTGTTCGAATACATTCGATTGCCCTCCCTCCCCCTACTACTTGTACATTCTCGTTCACTATAGTATTAATTATTATTCTAATCTTTTTCACCACCCACCACCACCACCACCATCACTCCCCCCCCTATATCCCCCCCCTAGGGAAATTATCTAATTCATCAAAACATGTTCTCAATATTAAGTTGTAATTTATTGTCTATAATGAAATCAACTATTTTAATCATAAATAATTCTATAACAGATCCAAATCTATTTCCTTCCTTTTCTTAATCATAGAAACTAGTTATGTAATACTACGGTTATGGTTTTTATTAAAATGAGAATAGTTGTATTTGTCAGTGGTTATTTAAAAAAAAACACAACGAAACTCTACTCATATTATTAGTTGCTAGTAGGAGATGAATTATATATATATATATACGCCTCATTTATTGGGAATTAAATTGATTTATTTTACCCTAATAAAGGCAATCCATACTACTTACATACATTTTTTGCGTGACTACTTAATTCTTTTATTATTTTTGTTTCTCGCTCTCTTAATAATGATATAATTTAAACAATCTATGTATGTTCATTTGTCTTAGTATTTACTATTGTTATTATTATTATTAATGTGATTCTCTTTTTCAGCTATTTTTATGATTGTTATTATTTCAATAGTTGAAATCATGATTCGATTGAAGCTAGACCACTATGGGAAACCTGTAAGAACTAGACGGCTGTTTTGTCCTAATGTGGAACTTCTCAATAGTGCACCGGTTAAATGATCTAGTGGTTAAGCGCTCGAGAGCAATACCGATAGGTCCTGGATTCAAATCCTACTAAGAGGGATCGTGGATGCATGATGCTGAGGAGTCCCATACTACAATCAAACGGCCATCTAGTGCTTCCATGTTTTCCATGGTTGTCTCGCTTCAATTAATTCATGATCTCAACTATTGAAATTACTATAATATCCAAAAAGACCCTTCTAATACTAATCGACATATGCTCACTAGTGACTGGCTTTAAGAGGTATTTCCTGGAGATCTAGTGAGAAGCAGTGACCAATGGAGTTCAACTAGGTCTATTGTGAGATAGTAACTCACTGATGACAATGGTGGATGTGTCGCTCAATTTTATGGATTAGTTGAAGTTAGAGATTAGCATCGTTTGGTGCCTGCTCAATGGTCTATAGGTTATATGTTCTCGCGCGCGAGACTGATAGGTCTTGGGTTGAAATCTCGCGAGGTGGGATCGTGGGTGCGCACTACTGAGGACTCCCACAGTAGAACGAAACGACCATTCATTGCTTCCATGTTTTCTATGGTGGTCTAGCTTCAACTGACTCATGATTTCAATCTGTGAATGTTATTATACAATTTACCATCCTTGAGTTATACCCTGTCTATTAATTACTACCTCCATCATTCACAGCCACATTTGGCTAAATCTTGTACAAATGTTTTCTATTTTATGGTACGATGTTGTCTGTTTGATTGGTATATGAACCCAGTATGTTTGAAATACATGATTCATATCACAGAGGCTCGTATTGGTGTTCTGTACTTAACTGGCTGAGCTAGACAGGAAGCAGGATCGATAAGGACTTTAGACTGCTCGTACAGGTTTTATGCGTCACTGGTCCGATCGATAATTCACTGCTCCCTAATTGGCGGTATCATTACGTATACATTAACAGGGCACACAAGTCACAAGTTATGACAACAAGCACTCAGAAAACACGAGGTCGCTAAGCACACAAACCAACCTTATTTATACAATGATAGAAACACCCTTGGGAGAGCCATAAAACAGCATACCAAGAAAAATCCGCCAACCAATAACAGTCAAGGATTTCCTAGTGGGAAATATAAGCTGTAGGTCAACTAAGCGACTCTTGGCGCGAAAACATAAAATTCAAATTTTCAGAATAAACTTACAAAATTAGGACCTTTTCCAAATGAGTTCTGAGGATCTAACATCCTTAATAAATTTTATTAATTCACTGTGATAATCAGTACCTGTAAACTAGGTATCTCGATCTCCAAATTTTGGGGAAAATTTGACCCATTTTGGGGAAGCCGCCAAAATTTCCCCAAACTTGGGAGATTTCAGGGAACCATGAATCAATTTTAATGATTTATTATAATCAAATTTGAAGAGTGAGGTTAAGTGACTCTTTAAACGGTCTTAGCAAGCTAAATTTCTTATTCGGTCATTTATGAACGAATTTAACATCTAAGATTAGGATTTAAGGTCAAAACTTCAGATTAGCATTAAGAATTTTGGAATTTTGTTTGGTGTTAAAGATTGGGATTAAATTTTGTAATTATTCTGTATGTAAACTAATCCTAAGCCTAAGTCTTAATTTTAACTGCCTAATGACATTCTTACCATTCAAACTAATCATCTATGTTCGATAGATGACATAATGTTTTGATGTGTATGCTGTCACCTTGAGGAGTCTTGATCATTCTTGACGAACTAGTCTGTGTTCTCAAGGTCAACTACAACACTGTTGAGCTTTTGGAATAAACAGGGCATGAATGAGAAAGGAGATGCGATATTCTGATATTAAAGTGTTCAGCAAAAACTGTTATCGTCTTTATCGCATCTCTATCGTGACCAAAGTAGAAGACACTTGAATTATGTTTTCATTATCTTTAGCGATAAACTTTCAACATTTTAAAACCAGTTTTAACACGGATAGGTTATACAAAATCAAATCAATACTCTTATTTTCTGTTCATAAAGTAACCTTAGAACTAAAGCTTCTTCTATACGTTCTACTTTCAGTTACTTATTCGAGATCCAAAAGTGGGAGATTTTTAGGAACTATAGAGCAGTTTAGCAAATCAATGAATAAGTATTCAAGTGAGAGATGTATCAAAAGTTAACTGTTGAACTTATCTACTAAATCTTATTCACTCTGTTGTATGTTTCCAGGTTTCATCTCTTCTAGACCAATACTTACAGAAGAGATCGATTTCACGTTTTTCCAGTCGTTTCTACTGATGAATAGATCACTAATAAAGTCTTAGACTGTGAAAATGGGTTAGTCGGCTTCAAATCCTACAGCAAACATCTTTCTCCTAAAATGTTCCAGATATACCTTGTTGACAAGTGATAGACAGTACAAAACTCATATCATTTAGAGTTTTCTGCCTTCCACTTCTAACTACCTAACTTGTAAAAGTTAGAGAAAGAAATCTTTCATTACATAATTTATAAGTTTCATTATACTCAAATAACTTATAATTCATAATGACTATTAATTACCTGGCACCATTGATTGCATCAACCCACATGAAACATTCTTCTTCAGTATCAGCACGTAGATCATATTGACGGACACCTTCTTTACGATAGGATATCGTGAAGTAGTTCTGTAAGTGAAAATGAAGAAAAAAACGACAAGAAACTTTTTATGTCACTTGTTTCTTATTTCAAGGACTATATAAGGTAAGTGGTAAGTGTATATTATAACGGATGACTTTAGGATAATCACAATGAAAGTTGGGCGGTTACTAGCCAATCAGAAAATAACTGTTATAAACAGATAGTTTGTAGAAAGAAAGGAATACCGGGTTAGGATCTAACTTTGGAATTAGATATTAAGTGGTTACTTACTTACTTACTTACTTACTTACTTACTTACTTACTTACTTACTTACTTACTTACTTACTTACTTACTTACTTACCTACTTACTTACTTACTTACTTACTTACTTACTTACTTACTTACTTACTTACTTACTTACTTACTTACTTACTTACTTACTTACTTACTTACTTACTTACTTACTTACTTACTTACTTACTTACTTACTTACTTACTTACTTACTTACTTACTTACTTACTTACTTACTTACTTACTTACTTACTTACTTACTTACTTACTTACTTACTTACTTACTTACTTACTTACTTACTTACTTACTTACTTACTTACTTACTTACTTACTTACTTACTTACTTACTTACTTACTTACTTACTTACTTACTTACTTACTTACTTACTTACTTACTTACTTACTTACTTACTTACTTACTTACTTACTTACTTACTTACTTACTTACTTACTTACTTACTTACTTACTTACTTACTTACTTACTTACTTACTTACTTACTTACTTACTTACTTACTTACTTACTTACTTACGCCTGTTACTCTCAGTGGAGCATAGGCCACCGATCAGCATTCTCCAACCGAGTGGTGGTTAGTAGTCAATTTATTGTTAGGAAGTATAAACTATGTTAATGCATTAAATGTGATCTACGTAAAAACAGTTGATTATTAACCCAATTTGAAGTGGTGTGAATCATACCGTTGTTAATAATTTTCACTGAGATTTGATCAATCTTGGTTGATATATGTACATCCTGAGCGGATTGCCTTGATATAACCATTATGATAAAAGAAATAGAATAGATGGAATGTGGCAAGTAATAAAATCCAGTATGTGCGTTTCGTCCTATTTAAGACTCGTCATCTGAATGTACCTGCTTCCCAGATTCCTTGAGTGAACATCAACTCTGAGACACAGGTGCATCCAGCTGATAAGTCCCAACTAAGACGAAACGCACATCTTTGATTCTACTGTTAGCCACTATCCATCTTTGCTCAGAAATATAAATAGACTTTTGAAAATAAAACTGTAGATATCCGATAATTTTTTTACAAGTTACATTGAAACAACTGTAATTTAGATTGATAATTCACCTCTGCCAACGCATTAATCAATAATTTTTCACTTATCTCATCTTTTTAATCCTCAATTATTTCTTTCATTCAGTAATAGAATTCAGTTTAGAAATGATATAAATGGAAACATTCATGACCTTGAAAAGATAAAGACTACAAACATGAAGGCAACATGTATTGTAATAAAAATTTGAATATTAAAGGAAAGATAACGATGTTTTCATTGTTTAAATATTACCTTCTAATGGTTTACATTAGGGATACTACGCCTAACTCAGGATCTGAAAAGTCGGAAAAATGAAAATTTCGCAAATGCGATAAAAATGATCTTGATGGTCTAGTAATAGTATTCCGACACTAGACAATGGATTTTAAGCGTTATTTAATCCCTAACGCTTCAGGTTAGGCTATTTTGATTACTACCCTACATATGTGTATAAGCTATATGGCTATGTGGAGCTGAAGGTCTCATATGAGACTGGAGGTTCGCCATTGGTATTGGGGATGGTTCGGTATTGCTTTGGCAAGTTTTGCTAACTGTTCATACACAAAATTGGTTTGCTGGTTAACCGATTTCATTCATACTGGTGGTTGCTTTTCAGTGTTCTCAAGGGCCATTGCAAGGCATGTCGCCATTGCTAACATTAATGAGTTTGATTAGGTCAACTTTGACCTGTTTGTGCTCTGCATAATTGATTCATGCGATCATTGATTGGAATAACTATACATCTGACGTGAATGTGTGTATGAATAGTGCGAATGGTTCACCAGGGTGCTTGGTACCTGTAAGGTTGAGCCACAGGATTGAGCTATACTATTCAGATTGTAGCGTTGAAGCCTATACGGTGTCTGGTTCTCCTGTTAAACGGGGTTGAGCTGTACTGTTTGGTTTGTCACGTGAAAGACTGGATGGTGTCTGGTTCTCCTGAAAACCCATAAGGGTATATTATATAACTGTGAAATGGTTTATATTGTGATAATATGTCAGTTTTGTTTTCAGATCAGAGAAAAGATCAATAGACAGATTTAGATCGAGAGTTTATAAATCACTTTAATGAGTAGCAAAACTTTAAATTATATAGAAACTAATTTAAACTATTCTTTTTCTTTCATAATTGAGAATGAAAAAAGGATTGTTTGTTTTCTATGAACACTTGATCATTTTCTTCCAATATCTTATTATTTTTATGATCGATTTATTGATTTATTGACTTAAACACATAAAAATTGGCACAAAGAGGCATCGAATACCTATGTACTAAACAAATCACTTGAATTTTGTGTAGACTGTGATACTACCTGGGTGTCCAAACCGAAGTAGTGGATTTTCTTGGAGGGCCACAAATTGAGCCTTTAGCACGAAGGTCTAATCCACAAGACAGTGGAGCAACGTTAGGAGGTGCAGTCCCATGATAACCGGTGATTAACAACAGGTTCATACGTCACTTGTCTCCTTAGGATCATGGAATCTATATACACCATTGGCTTAGAATCAGAGTTTTTACAACTCCCCTCGGTGGATCCTCCATATCCACTAATCCGGTTAACGCGCCGGACATTCGTTTTTCGTCCTCTCAATCTCGTAAACAACATTATTGCCGCGAGAAGGTAGTGGGTAGGACTTCCCTGATAGTGGTTATATACGCGTGGACATGTGAGAGCATTTCGAGAGGTAGAGCTGGCTCTCTTCACCTTCGTCCGTACCAAGGTATTTGGGGGCACATGATTGATAGTAAAATTAATTATTTCAAGAAAAAAGTTTTTGTGTACAGTTGGATAGTGGCTAGTAGTAGAATCCAAAAGTGTTTTGTTCTAAATGACCCTCAGCAGCGAGAGATGGACCTGCATCCCAGTGTCGGCGTGAATACATAGGTTCATACCCGGTACTTTTCACCTCATACACTCAACCCACTACTTACTGGGCACAAACCAGTCGATATCTGGATTCATTTTACGCTTTAACATTTGAGATGAAAAGTATTGAGTTCAAGTTCGTGTTCAGTATTCAGAATTTTCAAGCGTTTTCCACTTAATTGCTCGTATTTTTCATCGGAGAATTTTAGGCTAGACTACAGTAACATATTTTCAATGGTTGTCCAACATTAATTGGTTCATGATCTCAATCAGAAGCTTAACAATCTCCACAACCCTATACTGATAATACATCAATGTTTATGAATAGAATTGTAACTACTGACAAAATTTAATTAAGTAACTAATTAATTAAGTTTGAAATGTTATACATTAACGCCGTTGGATGCCAGCTTAGTAGTCTAGTGGTTAAGTTTACGCGTTCGAGACCTAGGGTCCTGTGTTCAAGTCCTACGTGTGAGATCGTGAGATGCGCACTTTTTATTAGTCCCGTACTAAGACGAAACGGTTGTCCTGTACTGACATATTTTCCATGTTGATCTAGGTCGAATCAACTCGAAAATTAACTCGAAAAAATAAAGTCATTTCGTTCGTTAGTATATTTGTAATTACAAATTCCTTCTATATTCATACGAGTTCAATTTCCCAACGAAAATAATAAACAAGAGTTTATAAGTAAGTAATGAAAACTGACAGTAACTAGGGGGGGGAGTCTTTTATCTTATCTATGTTGAATTCTTCATATGAGCTTTTTTTATTATTTTTTTTTTGATCTCATATGTATGCTGCATTCCTTTCCCATAATCCAACATCTACTTTCTAAGTTAACATCATTCATCTCCTTTAAAATGGATGCTTGACAAACATATTCTTTTTTAAAAAGGTTTGGTTTATTATAACATCTCATTTGTTTCATGAATATGTTTAAGAAGAATTATTTCTCAGTCGACATCATAGAGACTATTAGTATTATGAAATCAATGGACATTCACCGTCTGCCAACTAAAGAGTATTGTGTATGTGTATGTTTGTGAATGTGTGTGTGTGTGGAAAAATTCATACAACCGCCAGAAATTAGAATTTATTGGAGAGGATAATAAAAAGTAGAAGAAGAATTCTTGTTAGCAGTAATATCTCCATGCTATCACTATATTAACATGTATATATATGTGATCTATCTGTATATATCTGTATGTAAGTATGTATCTCAGTCAGTCAGTAACAACGTAGGACTTCGTACGTACGTACATCAGTTCGAGTTACCACACCACATTAGCACAGAGATGCAGTGGTCGATTCAAATCCCGTAGTGCTAGATGTAGTAAAATTATAAGCTGTAATCAGAAAAATTAGAGTTTGAAGATGTGATTCAAGGAGTATAATCCAGTGAAATAAATTTGGGAAGAGAAAAAGAAAAGGGACATGAAGAATGTATGTATGTAAGTATGTATGTGTCTGTGTGTTTAAAATTAATACCCTCATATAAATATTATGTCTCATTACATGTGTACATCATAAGGATACGGTTACTACTTGTTTAATGATTATTAGGGAAAGGAAACATAATTACATAACCATTACATTTGTCATTTGTAATGATCATAATAATAGTAATAGTAGTAGTAGTAGTAATAGTAGTAGTAGTCATAGTAGTAATAGTAGTAGTAGTAGTAGTCGTAGTCGTAGTAGTAGTAGTAGTAGTAGTAGTAGTCGTAGTCGTAGTAGTAGTAGTAGTAGTAGTAGTAGTAGTAGTAGTAGTAGTATTGGTAGTAGTAGTAGTAGTAATAATAGTAATAGTAGTAGTAGTAGTAATAGTAATAATAATAGTTTGAATGTTATGCAAGAGTAAACTCTTCAAATTTCATCTCATCAAGCCTATGTTATCATTATTCGTAATAATAATAATAACAGTAATAATAAGTGAACTAGTAATTTCAGTGTAGCGTTAAATATACCTTGAAAATTGATCAAGCGTTTAAAATATTCTACATACATGGCGACAATCATAAATGAACATACAACAATACATACATACATACATACATACATGCAAAAAGACAGGGTTGACTTAAGATGAGATATATAATATGTTTTAGAGGTATCTTTATTCGTATCAGAAGGGATTTTCTGTGGAAATTATAGTTGAGATCATGAGTCCATTGAAACTAGACTACTATGGAAAATCTAGAAGCACTGAACGACTGTTTCATCTTATTGTAGGACTCCTTAGCAGTTCTCATTCAAGATTCTAACTCACGAGATTTGAACTCAGGACCTATCAGTGTCGCACGCAAACGCTTAACTTCTAAACCATTGAGCATGATGGTCTAGCTTCAATTGACTCATGATCTCAACCATTGAAGTTTCTATATTCATTTGACAAAAAAATGTCTGGAAATGGTGATTGATCAGTGCATATAATTAGAAGAAAAGCTTCAAGCTTACAAATTCAGTATGGGATTGTGAAGATTGTTGAGCTCAAATATAGATCATAATCATAAATCGATTATTGTTAAACCACCACCATATTAGAGGGAAATGATCGCCTAGTGCTTCGAGATTTTCAATGATGATCTAACATTGATCAATTCATAATGTCAAGTTGTCAGTTGGAAAGTATGTTCTTCAAATGCAGATATACTTCCAGGTTTTATCATAATTACCCTTAAATTAAAGAATTTCTTTTTTCATTCAATATGTGTCCTTAAATGTGTTTTTTCTTTACTCTAATATTTGCTTTTTATACCTTTTATAATGATGATATGTTGAAGTTATACTCAACGTTTTCGGTATCCGATACGGGTATTGTATCCAATAGCCCATGACATTTACTTATTCACTTAGTAAGTATTGCATATAAGGGGGTAATTTTTATTAGAAAGTTCATTTCAAACACCTAATTTGATCTTAAACTATCTACTATGAACATCTTTGTGTACCTCTACTTTATTATACACCATTCAACCATCAAATGAACAGAAATATTAGCTAAACATTGAAAAAAGTTGTGAATAATCTTTGACTAATGAAAGTTTCATTCATGAAGTATTGAATTCAATATCTTCTAGTAGCTTTCCATCGTGTTTTTGATACTATACGAAGTTGAAGAACCTTTTGGAAACTAGACGTTTGGTTCTAGATTAAGGGCGTACAGTATTGCTAATCTACGATGTTTTCTTATATTGGATAAAATCCATGCTATTTAGATCTTCCACTGAATATAAATTCATTAGAAAACTATTTCAGGATTCAAATGGTCTACATTGAGAACCTCGATCGAGTTTTGTAAACTGGGATAAGATTATCCGATTTAGTTCTCAATGAAATATATTTGATCCTGTAAAGTAACTGGACACCATTCATTTGCTAGGTTTGAAGCAATTACGATTTCACTTAGACTGTGAATGGAACAAAGACTCAGTGATCAAAGAACAATAAACTAGCTATTCTACTGCGTCCCAGCCCCGATAACTAGAGAGAAAAGTCGAAGTCCGAACGGGTAAGTATATTCCACAAAAAAAGCCAGAAGCACGAGCGATAACAACAGACACTCATCGAAACGTATATATATATATATATATATATATATATATATATATATATATATATATATATATATATATATATACAGCACAAAACCGTCCTTGGGAAGCGTCACAAAATAGCATACTAAAAGACACGACGGACCAATAGCGTTTAAGATTCTCCCAAGTGGGAAATACGACATGAAGATGAAAAGAGCGCTTTTGGCGCGGAAACAAAGAAATTCAAATTTTCAAAATAAAATTACAAAATTAGGACCTTTTCCAAGTGAGTTCTGGAGATCTAACGTCTTCAACACCGTTACAGGTTTTTACTAAAATATCATGAATTATTCTCAATGGTTGTCACTACTTAACATAAGTCTACTATGTTAATTCTGTCTCATAATAGCATATTTCTAAAAGAATCGAATTGAAAAAGGAAGTCATCAAATTCTGAGCTAAATGGTATTGTACTCATTATGGAACCTGAAACTCAAGATTTCAGTCACATATAAGATAGTGGATGGATGTTAACTTATGAGCAGTCGATTGATTTCAAACAATTTTCTTCTAAGTTATTTCATTTCATGATAAGAAATGGATGGTGGTTTGTAGAGAAAGCCAGAACTCATTATTAGGATATACTTGTATTTGTATTGATGTTCATATTTCAACTTGACCCTGACAAATTTCGATTTAAACTCTCAACATGTTATTTACTAAAGTGTTGAGTGCAAATAGTCACTGGCTAATATAACGGATGGAAATTTCAGTTCATTTATAATGGTTGTTTTAACTTTCCCTTTGTTAAACAAATGTACTAGGTTCGAGTCTAGGTGTGGTCACCAATACTAGGGTACTGGTACATTCAAATGATGAGTTTCAAATACGATGAAACCTACTTGATACACCCCACTCCAAGCCCACTATTCAACTTTTCTTAAAATGCTTATGACTTAATGATGATATCGAGGCAGTTCACGCACGATCCGTGTATGCCAAACCAAACTAGTTAATTGCAATCCTTATCATCAACAACGGAAACTTTTAAACAATCTTCATAAATCAATGAATCTCAAACATGTTAGCTTAGAATCCCAAAACGAAACATAAAAAATCGGAGACCAAAGAACACACTGTTCCAAGAATTAAAAACAGACATGAGAAGGATCAACAGCAACTGAAATGAACTGGAAGAGATTACCCATGACAAAGTTAGATGGAGAATGCTGGTAAACAGCCTATGCTCTTCTATAACGGGTAACAAGCGTTACTAATGTTAACTCATTAGGAATTAAAAGACTTTTGAAGATAACAACAATGACAGTTATTCTTTGGTAACATAATAAACTATTTTACGCCCCCAAATGCCCAGGCATGGCCGAGAGTGGGGTGGGCCCTCCCCCCTCTCGAAATGCTCTCACATGGCCATGCGTATACAGCTTCTGCCAGGGAAGTCCTACTTACTGCCTTCTCGTGGCGGGGGTGTTTTTTACGAAAATGAAAGGACGAAAAGCGAATGTCCGGCGCTTTAACCGGATCCCAAACCAATGGTGCACATGGGCTCCAATATCCTGAAGGGAAAAATGACGTATGAGCCAATCTTGGTCACCGGCTACCATGAGACTGCATTTCCTCACGATGCTCCATTGCCTTGTGGGTTAGACTTTTAGATGAAAGACTCGGGGTGTGGCCCCCTAAGGAAACCAACTGCTTCGGTCTGGGCACCCGGGCAGTATCACAGCCCACACACAAATCAAATGAGATCTGTGTGGCGCATATGTGTTTGGTTCCCCCTTGTACCAATATTTATATGCTCAAATAATAAATAATCAATACATAAATCAACTATTTTTTTACATCATTCACTTACTCCTTGTTGTCCACCAGTTTTATCATCTCGTCCAGATTTTAAATTAACATTTGGTTCACAATAAGAACTTTCTAAAAATATAACACCAGATGGTCTTTCTGCACGTTCACCATCGAAATAAAACAATAAATTCTGATATAATATAAAGTAACTAACGAGAAAAAAAGAAAAATAATAAAAGAAAAATTAGAAAAAAAAGAATAAACAGATGAAAATTGGAGAAAACGAAGGAAAATTTTTTCTTTCAATATGTCAAAAGAAACAATGTTTATGTCTAATTTCAACTAACCGACGAAATTGTGCAAACACATCTATGATTGTCTTCAATGAGTTACTATCTTATAACAGACCTGGTTGAATTCTATTGGTTATGGCTTCTTACTAGAACTTTAGGATATACCTCTTGAAGCCAGTCACTATTGATTAGTATCAGAAGGGGGTTTGTAGTGGATATGTCGCTCAAGTCTGTGGATTAATTGAGGTTAGATATGTTAGGTTCGTTAAGCTTGAATGCTACTACTGATTCGGCTTATTTGGAACAGAACGAAGGATCAAGGATTCAGAGACTCGATAAGCTATTCTGGTCCGTTGTCCGCGACTCATCTAACTCGACCAAGAAGTCTTGGTAAGACGTTGAAGTGTATTGTACAGGCAACCAGCAGATACCAGGTCAGATCAATCAGACACACAAATCAACTGTATTTATACAAATATTTATAATCGATATTGTCATAGTAAAAATTTTTAAACATTAATCAATAATTTCACCAATCGACTGCCGTTCAAATATTTTATCGATAAGTTCTTCAGTTGATTGCTATTTAAACATTTAATCGATAAGTTCATCGATTGACTGCCATTCAAATATTTAAACATTTAATCGATAAGTTAATCGATTAGATGAAATTACAAAATATGAGTTTTGGGGATCTATCGTCTCCAATAAGATATTAACAAAATTGGATGCCGTCCGGTTCAGTGATCTAGTGGTTAAGTGTTCGCGCGTGAGACCAATAGGTCATGGGTTCGAATCTAGTGAGTTGGGATCGTGAATGTATACTATTGAGGAGTCCTATAATGGGATGAAATGACCATCTAGTGCTTCTAGGTTTTCCATGATGGTCTAGCTTCAATTGACTCATGATCTCAACTATTAGAAAGTCACTATAATATTCGCAAAACTCCCTGTTTTGAAACTGTTGTAAAAAATGGAATAATGATTACAAGATTTAACTTTCAGATTGATGATTTTCAATGAAATAATATCCTAATGATAACGTTGCTTAATATGAAACTGGATGATATAAGTTCAAATCTGACAGGAAGTATTAGCTCTCTCAAGATTACAGGTTTAACGAATGAAAGCTAATAAATAGTTTAAGTTGAAGATTTCTTGTTAAATACTTTCGATCATATTGCAGTAATATTAATCTTCAGAGAAAATAGTTTTTATGACTCCAAGTTCATTGTAAAAGCTGATAATTTTTTTTTATTATTTTATAGTTGAATTCATGAGTTAATTGAAGCTAGACCACCATGGAAAACTTGAAAGCACTGGACGGCTATTTCGTCCTAATATGGGACTAGTCAGAAGTGCGCATTCACGATCCCGCCCCACGCGATCCAAAGAGCAAATACATTTTTATAATATAAAATAAACTATTTTTGATAACGAAATGAATTCTTGGGTCATTAGAGAAAAAAACCCAGATATTTCAGCGGTGTAAATGAATTTTTCGCGTTTCGAAGATACTACTTATTACAGCTATTTATTAAGCGGTTGGAAATAGTTGACAAAAAACCCTGGACCTAGATTTCGTCCTATCCAATACTCGTCGACAAGTTGAATTTGTTTTCTTTCGGAAAATCATACTTTCTGATGTATACGAACTTGTATCACTCAAGTTCACTTAGCTGTTCGAATAGCTCTGGTGAAGAATTCAACATAACTACATTTATCATTTTGATAAAGTGATTACGTAAGTTAATGTTGATTACATAGAGAAATGATGTGTATAAGAACATAAACTAAATAACATTTTTAACATCTGGTATATATACGCAATCTAAAACCTACGTTCAGGATTTCACATCTACAACCTCAAACCAATCAACATCTTAACATAAGATATACAATGTCCAGTTAATTTATGTTATATCCGAACACAGAAAAAGTGAATGGTAACTGCTAGGATCTATTTGTGGACTAGATAGTGGTTGGAAATAGTCGACAGGTAACCCTGAACCAGGATTTCGTGCTATTTGGCACTTGTCAGCAAGGTGTATCTGTAATCTTGAAGCAGTTGGTGCTCCCTAACGGATTTGATCCCATTCAGAGACGTTACCACTGGACTATCCAAGCCGCGACCGACCTCCTGTAAGACTGAGATGTAATCACAATTGATTGATCACTGGGTGGTGATCAATGTCATGTGTGTCAAGTCCTTCTTGGTACAGACCGAATGCTATCGGTGCTATGGACTGTTATTATACATATATATTCTTATTGGATGACTATTGAGTAACTAGTTTATGTATATTCATATTCCTTTTATTATAAACTCCCATTTGGCCTATTGACTACTATCATACGATTTACTATACTTAAGTTATTCTCAATTTGTTAGTTATAGTATCTCACATTCAGCCACTTTTTGACTTGATCTTGTTTTATTTTTATTTTCTATTTTAATGTATGATGTGGTCTGATATTTCAGTGAAGGAGAACACAGCTGAGGACAACCGAATTATATTTAGCACAACATTAAAGAGTTGCTTGGTGAAATAGAATAAACTATAGTATAAAACTTAATTTGCAAAATGTTCAATATTTGTCTCCGAACTCATTGTTCTCGAATTTCTATACTAATTGCTTTCTATTCCCGTTCTTCCTTTCTTGATCTTTCCAATCTTCTGCTCTCAGATATCACATTCCTGACTCGCGTTATATACTACTTATGTCAATATAAGTAGCACGCACCACAATATGCTTGTATATAAGCTGTGTGCCTGAAATACGGCGAAGACTGAATCGGCTGGGTTAAGCGAGAAACTACTATCTAGGTGAACCACTAAGAATTCAGAGTTGAATCTAGGCTGCTCGTACTGGTTTATGCGTCCTTGGTTTGGAATAATATTGTCCGACCGGCCATTTTTTTTATAAAAAAATTTTCCAACCCCAAATTACAATATTTTTCATCCCGTGTTTCGTCCAATGAAATGGCTAGTTCCAAAAATTAGATTTAATTGGTTAGTTATGTCTTGAAAATTGTTATAAATTATCAGTACTTGTCGACGAAGCACAATCTCAATCGTCATTATGGAGCAGAGTAACGTGCCTAGTACAAGCGCTGGTGTTTCTCACGTAACGGAAATGGAGGAAGTCTTTTTGACTACCTTGTTTCTGGTTGCATTTCCATCGGTTGAAGCGTTAAAGACCACTATCACAAATTTTGAAAGATCGACTTACAGTCATTATGTAGTGAGAGATTCGCATATTGGCAGAGATCAAAAATCCTACATTAAATTTGTGTGTTGGCGAAATGGGCGTATAAGATCTAGCGGTTCGTCACAACGTATTAGACGGAGGAGGTAATTTGGTAAATTGTTTTATAAATTTTTTTAATGAAGGGCTTCTATGAACACCCAATGTCCAGCATTTATGTTTTGTAAGATTATAGACGGCTATTGGACTGTTGTACGTGGGAATGTACATCACAATCACGAGTGCAATTCCCTGAGGTACCAGGGTAATTCATGGATGCGCAGGTTAACGGATGGGGAGTTTGAAACTGTGAGACCGCTGCTGATTTCCGGTACCGCTGCATTCCACATAAAGAATTTTGCTTACCAATCTTATGGGAAATGTCTGACCGCTCAAGATGTCTGCAATATGCGGTACAAAGTGTTCTCACACGCGAACCTTCCTGGTACGGAATTTGCCAATTTATAATGTACACTATAGGTGATTACGGGAAATTGAAAGCTCACATAACATCCTTGGGTGGGCTTTGCGAATACGAATTGGACGATGAGAACTGTCTATCGTATTTCTTCTTCATGACTGCTGAGCAAGTGAATTTGGCCGGTCACTTTTGTGACGTAATTGGTTTTGACGTGACGTACAAAACTAATAACGAGAACGTCCATTTATATCAAGTCGTTGCCATGGATATGAATTTTAAGGCAATACCCATGTGCATTGCCTTTTTAAGTCGCGAAATGTCGGCCTTGATTTCTCGATTCCTCTTCTTTTTCCAACGGTGTACCAACAGTCGACAACTGGTAGGCATTGTGACCGATGATTCACCTGCAATTGCTGCTGCTATTACGCAGGTGTATCCGGATGCACACCATATTCTGTGTCGCGTACACCTTGTTCGGAATGTGATAAACAGGGTAAGTGTTTCGTTCATTAACATTAACCCAGTAACCGTTATTGTAGAGGGTGCGATCAGAAATTGTACAACTGTTCTTTCGCCTCATGTTCACTCGAACGGTTGAAAGGTAAATCAAAATCTACATAACATGATTTTGTAGTTTTAACAACGTACTTTCGTTAATCGAAATGTCGGACGGAACATTTGGCAGATACGTCAGAGACCACCTTCTACCACGGAAACACAAATGGTCCACTGCTTTTCGACCGCCATCCACTCTCTTTGAACTGAATAATACGAAGTTCGTCGAGACCAGCCACCGAGTCTTGAAGATGTATCACCTTAATCGAAAAACACCGGTTCTCAGATCCATTTTCAATGTGCTGCTTCGTACTGGATATTGGATGGAAGCAAGATTACATAAATATTCGATGGATTGTCGGGGGAAAGCCGGTGTTGGTGAGGAGCCGGAAGTACGTCGACTTCAGGAACGACTGACACCAGTTGCCTGTCAACTACTGAAGCGACACCTTCGCATTCCTATAACGCAGTTTGCATTGACGGAAGATTTATTCACCGCTATGGACGCCACGGGGACGTACTACGTACACGTCGACACTAGCCGTTGCTCGTGTCCATTCTTCATTGAAAACGGATTACCATGCCGTCACATATTGGCTTACTGCACACACAGTAACACCGATGTGAACGTACAGTCAATTTGTGACAGGTGGTTACACTATGATGGTTATCTGACTCATATTGCAGTTGAAAATTATTTCCCAATGCAATTGAGTCAGCCAAGCATGAAGAATGCGGTGATAGCGTTAATCAGGCGAATGTCGGAGGAACAATGCAGTTCACTTCATGACTTCATAGTTCACTAATAGTGATGACGTTCGACCGCGAGAACGAGTAAAGGCCCTTTTCAGGGCCACCCACAATTTGATTTCCATTATTTTTTATCTACTACTTTTCCGCCGCAAAGGTCAAGTGATTAAGCACTTATTAATGTCTCATGAATTTAGATATCCCTTAGAGATTATTAGTGGAAAAGCGATTATCGCTCTTGTATTCGTAAACTTGTTTCTTACGTTTATTAGATATAAAGGTTAAGAAAACTTAGACAAGATTTTGTCATCTAATGAAGACTAATCTAGTAATTTTATATTGAAAATAATGTGATTAGCGTTCATGTTTTAGTAACACATTTGTAAACTATCTAATAAAAGTACATTTTGAGTACATTTTAATAGGAATATTTTAAATGATTGAAAATCGTAATTTTGTCGTTAGGTCAAAAAATTTATGATGACATTTATTAGTGAATGTAATAAGATAATTACAAAGATGAATGTGATTAAACCTCATAGAGAAGTAAACGAAATTGAGAAAATTAACTTATTTAAGAATAAAATAATGACATTAGAAAACAAGTTGAAACCATCATCATTGAAATGATTCATGTGATAAAAGGTCATACAGTAAGTGTAAAAAGAAATAAGAATATTATCCGTTTCATGAATACAAAAAACAAGAACTTCATATTCTTGTTTTATATTAAAATTTCCTGAAACCAGAACTATGCGTACGTAAGAAGTACGTCTGATCGTCAACTAAGCCTTCATTGTTATTCATAACTACTGATTATATCACCGTTTTCATTTGCACACCTCATCAACTATTTATGACTGGTACAATCTCATTGTACCAGTTAAATATTCCCTTAAAATATTCAAAAATAAAAAATAATTTAGGAAACAATCGTTTTCCTTAACTTCATCATCACACTATACAGTTATTAGTCCATAATTTTAATATTTTATAAAGTCCAAAAATAAAGCATGGCATTAATGAATTTGACAATGTAATATGTTAACAATGGTTAACGTTTACATCTGTAACGATATATATGTTTACAAATTAAAAAGGTCATTCACTAAAGGTCGGGATGATTTGCAGTAAAGTGTTCAGTCACAATAAGTGACTAAACATTCTAGGAAAATTGAAAATGCAAAAAATTTTGTGTCAATGAAATACATAGTACAAGAATTGAATCTTGTCAATTGACGTAATAATAATAACGATCATAAGGAAAATAGATAAGAATAGCATTGTAAATGTTCATTGATACAGTTGACCTTATTCATATTTATACATTTAATGTCGATAGATATTTGTTGAGTCAGTCAGACGACGTAGGCTTGTTCATTTACACTTCATGAAACTGATATTTCAAATGCTTGTCAAAAATGGTTACATTCATAATGTCTAGATAATTCAGGTTTCATATTACGGCGGTTAACAATATTCACACATGACTGATTAAACACACACTAGTTTTTATTACGACCAAAAAATTAATTTTAAAATACAGAACTACAAATAATTTACAAGTGAACACAATAAACCGTTTCAATGGACTTTTAAAATTAACCACATTTAAATCTAACGTTGTCTAATTCTCATTATGAATGAACATTTACAAAATAATCCTTTACTAAATATTAAGTGTCTATTTCGGAAAATTTATTACTACTTTCATATACTGTCAAAGTCAGTTCATTAAATGATCGTCTACGGTTGGTTCACCTGAATTATACATATTGCAACCAGTAATTTATCATGATGATTTATTGATATGTTGATTTCTTTTTCCCATTAACACACCGTGTGTTACAAAAAAACCTATGCACACACTTTGGTGATAATTTGTTTATTAATTTGGTATTAAATATTTGACTACCGACCTCATTCAGTAATCACTATTATCAAATATTCAAACCGGTTTACAGATGCTTTTTCCCAAAAACTTTTTTTTACTGAGATACATATAATTATTCGTGTTCCGATAACTAACGACTTCAATTCAAGGTAAAGTAGATCGGAAAACAAAAATTTATCCCAATACACATTCACTAACAGTAGGATTGCATGGTAATGCAATTAAGTTGGTGTCTTTTTCTTCAAAAGTCTAAATTTTTTTCAAGACTAAGATTACACAAAAAAAATTATTCATTATCATTAAATTTCAAATGTAAGAAATGAAAATTCTGACATCCAATCACAGCTCCAGATGTGATTTCGATTTCAACTAATCACATTACAAAGATGAACAGTTTAAGACCAATCACAAAATTATTAAAGGTAACAAAATGTTTGTTCATTATCACTTGAGCACACACTTGCAAAACAAGTCCACCAATCAACGATACCTAAATTTTTCATTCACACCCCAAAATTTTTTTAAAAGGGGTGGTAGGGAATCATATAGGCCGGTTACTTAATGTCAACCCCTGGTTTGACACAATGCCAAGGTCATAGTCACGTAATATATTAGCAGGTCCATAGGACATAACAACCTACACTAGTGGTCATTTTACAATTTGATCGGTAGATTTTCAATGAGCTACAAACAGCAGCACCTGATAACACATGGCACTAATCATTCTTTACTACTCAATAATCAATCAAGTTCTTGGATCGATTGATGTTAGACATTAACACCATTAGATGCCGCCAGCTCAATGGTCTAGAGATTAAGAGTTCACGCATGAGACCGAAGCACTTAACTCCAACTCCATTTGGTATGGGATCGTGGATACGTACTACTCATCATTCTCATACTAGAACAAAACGATCGTCCAATGATTTCAGGTTTTCAATAATCATCTAACATTAATCGATTCATGATCTTAATCAAAACTCAACCAACTTCAAAACTTTTTATTCTATCAAATATTAAAAGGAAAAAAAAAAGGAAGAAGATTTAATTATTTATATCTCGTTAATGCTACATTCTACTTACCGTAATTGCCATTTACCAGTATCTAAACTTCTTTTCCATAAATTACCAGATAATTTAGCTAAACCATTTTCACGAGCTTTATTCACTAAATAATATAATTGATGCTCATTTGCACGAATTGATTTTTGCATTTTATTATTATGATGATTATAAGTAGTATATTTATGATGATGATGATGATAATTGTTACCAGAATAAATGATCCTAATGTTCTGTTGTATTTAGTTCATCTCTCCAATTATCCACAATCGATCACACACACACACACACACACACACACTCCTTACGTTATATATTCGATCTTCTCTTTGTGTTGTACTTATTCTAATGTTTGTATAATTCTGTGAAATAAAAGCATAAAATGAAATGAAATCCAGTGAATTAGAGATAAAGTTGACAGTGATTTGAACAGTTGAATGTATAAGTCAATCACAACTAGATCATCATTGAAAACTTGTAAGTAATAGATGGTTGTTTTGTTCTAGTATGAGATTGTTCAGAAGTGTGTAACTACGATCTCGTATACGGGATTCGGATCCGGAACTTTTTTTCTTCTTGAGAGTGAACTCTTAAACTCTGAAATCATTGAGTTAACGTCCAATGGTGATAATGTCTAATTTTAACCAATACACAATATTGTGTTACCGTCCATCATTGTTTTCATGTGCTCACTAATCACTGACTTCAAAATGAGTTTCCTAGAGTTCTAGTGAGAAGCCATGACCAGTGGAGTTTAACCGGGTCTGTTGTGAAGCAATTACTCACCGAAGGCAATGGTGAATGATTGGGCGATATCATAGATTGGTTGAAGTTAAACACTGACACCATAAAATGTCAACTCAGTGGTCTAGAGGTCAGGCGTTCGTGTGCGAGACCGAAGGTCCTGGGTCCAAGTCCTTTAGGTGTGGGATCGTAGATACTCATTGCTGAGAAGTCATATACTAGGACAAAGTGACTGTCCAGTGGTTCCAAGTTTTGAATGATGGTTCAGCTTTAATCGACTCATGAATTTAACTATTAAATTATTACAATCTTCACAAACCCCTTTCTGATAAAATATCTTTTTAACATGCACTTATATTTTCATTGTTCAAAGTTTATATTTAACAATGAGTATCTGGTACCTGTATTTGACCACTGAAGTTCTCGATCCATTCAGCTGTTACATCTATTTTTTGGTTGTCTGTATATATATAATGGTTGCATTCCAAGATATTTGTCTCTCGTTTTTCCCCAGAAGATAAATAAAATGGTAACTATTACAAGAACTACAAGATAGTTACTCTTTGAGTTTTTCAAGATTGATCATCCCATTAACTTGTAAACCTTTTATAATAATGTGTGAGTACATCCTGTTAGTAATCATAATTATTAGATTTAGACAAATCTAAAATATTCAGATTAATTTTCACTCTATCCATCCACATATCTATCTACCGCCTCAGCAAGAAGGGCGATTTCAGCAAGTGTGATGACTACAGAGGCATCACTCTTCTCTCAATACCAGGACAGTCTTCAACAAGGTGTTGCTAGATAGAATAAGGGACTCCATAGATAGTCAGCTTCGAGATCAACAGGCTGGATTCCGTATTGACCGACCGTGTAAGACCAAATTGTAACACTACGGATCAATGTGGAACAATCATTTGAATGGAATTCATCACTCTACATCGACTTCATCGACACTACGGCGTGCCTCAGAAGATAGTCAACACCATACAGAATTCCTATGATGGATTAAACTGCTAAATTGTGCATGGAGGACAGTTGACAGACTCGTTCTAAGTAAATACCAGTGCCAGGTAAGGTTACTTACTGTCACCCTTTCTCTTTCTCCTGGTGATCGACTGGATTATAAAAACGTCAACATCTAGGGGGAAGCATGGGATACAGTGGACAGCTAGGATGAAACTGGACGATCTAGACTTCGCAGATGATCTGAGTCTTCTATCGCACACGCGTGTAGCAGCAGCCTCAACATACACAAAGAGAAAAGCAAGATTCTCAGATACAACACAACATGCACCAATCAAATCACACTTGACGGAGAAGATTTGGGAGATGTAAAATCTTTCAAATCTCTGGGCACTATGAATGACGAATACAGTGGGTCTGATACAGATGTAAAGGAGCGGATCAGCAAGCAAAACAACTATCTGTTAACGAACACCAAAGTCAGAATTTTCAATACAAATGTCAAGACAGTCCTACTGTATGAGATGAAAACTTGCACAACTACGAAGAAAAAGAAAAAAGTGTTTATTAACAATTGTCTACGCAAAATACTTCGGATCCGTTGGTCAGACACTATCAGCAACAATCCACTGTGGGAAAGAACAAATCAGATTCCAGTGGAGGAATAAATCAGGAAGAAGCACTGGAAGTGGATAGAACACACATTGAGGAAATCAACCAACTAAGTCACAAAATAAGCCCTCATCACTTGGAATCCTCAAGCCCAAAAGAGAAGAGAAAGATCAAAGAACACATTACTCTAAGAAATGGAAACAGATATGAGAAGAATGAAAGGAAGGCTCATGACAGAGTGGGTTGGAGAATGCTGATCTATGGCCTATGCTCCATTGAGAGTAACAAGCGTATGTAATTAAGTAAACAAGTAAGTATCTATCTATCTATCTATCTATCTATCTATCTATCTATCTATCTATCTATCTATCTATCTATCTATCTATCTATCTATCTATCTATCTATCCACCTATCGTTTCGAACAAATCTATGTTTAATGTCACAAATGTAATTTCATTATCAAAGTAATCATAACAGATAACTTCAAATTGTTGTTAAAAGCATTTTTTAAAATCTTATTTACCCATTTAGTTCTCGTTCATTTCTCATTCATAGATGGAATCATATTTTCATGAAAACTTCAAACAAACTATCGCTTATGCAATGATTATTGTGTTGTGTTTTTTTTCCTTCTTTTACATTATAGATTACAATTAAGTAGTGTTAAATTAAAAAAACACTTTAATAGTAGCTAACTGATTCACTGATTAATGTGATACAATTTCATGTTTTTCAATCGATATAATCTATTCGAAATTTTGCCGAATATTTTATTTCGGAAGGGGAGAGGAGAGAAGGGAGAGGGGAGAGGAGGGGATAAAAAAAGTTATTTAGTTGTATAGTTGCTAGGTTTCTTAACTCTTTTCATTTTGAATAATCTAATAGTTATGAATAAATATTCAACAGAATAAAATATTTTAATGGTTGGGATCATGAGTGAATTGAAACTGGACCACCAATGGAAAACCTGTAAGCATTAGACTGCCGTTTCATCCTAGTATGGGACTACTCAGCAGTGCGCATCCATGATCTTGCCTCGCAGGATTCGAACCTAAGATCTATCAGTCTCACGCACGGACGCTTAACCTACTAGATGCGCACTGCTGAGGAGTCCCACAATAAGGCGAAATGGCTGTCCAGTGCTTCCAAGTTTTCAATGGTGGTCTAATATCAACTGGTTCATGATCTTAATCACAATTGTTATAAGAATGATAAGATTTGGTTCAGTGATAACCGTTCAAGATATCGATTTATTGATGTAAGCCTCAAATGAACCGATTTGAAAAGACAGAACCAATGTCAAGGAGGAAAACTTTTTTGATGTAATAAATTTACATTCGATGAGAACATAATTTATGGACGACCTTTGAACGACGCTAGACTGACCATGAGAGTGTTCACTTAATATCCAGGACCAAATGAGAGTTGTAAACCAGTTGTGAGGAATTAGAATTATGTTTTACAGTTGATGACTAACGTTAGGAATTAGATTTCGTGGTTTCATCACAAACAGACATCAGTTATAATGGCAAAACTCTATTTATCCAAATGGATGAGTGAATTTCGTACCAAAATCCGAGATTTATGATTTTGTATATGATTGGTTCATCCATAAATTATTGTCATGCCTTACATTCATGTATTCATGTATTATCGAGTCACTTAAATCAGAAGCAACATTTATATCTTGATCGCTGAAATCCGGTCAGTATTAAAGAGGAATACTACTTTGTGATCCATCTAGCATAAGTAACTCAATAATACAGGTCAGTCGCAACCTTAATAGGTCATTTGTAACATTCCAGACCATGAAACTAGGTGACAATGGTTCTAATCCCACAGATTGGATACATCATACTGAACATTGAATACCTCCAAGGTCTCAACAAAGAGCAAGTGATGTGTAGTCACTTAGACTAGTGAATACATTGTAACTTGATCCATAGCTAGTAATCAAAAGCAATGGTCTAGACTAACGTAATGTCGGCCATCATGATGGATTAATGAACAAATATCCAAATGATATTAGTTCTTGATGTATTTAAGATCAATAATCTCCGGTTGATATGAATAAATATTCCTTGTTTATGTGTACGGTTTCACTACATTTCTTTGAGTATGACTCATTCTATAACTTTATACAGTCATAGTGTGGTCCATGATACTTATGTTAACAGACATAAGTAGTATGAAGCAAAAATCGGAAGTGGAATGGTTGCCAGAAGAAGATCGAATCGAAGAGAATAAGAAAGGAAACAGGGAACAATTGAAATAACAACAGATTCAAAAGAACCATGAAGCATGTAAAAGAAAACTGAAAGAAGACGTGGAAGTAATGTATTTAATGCATGGTTTTCATATTGTACAAAAGGGTTGGATTTCCATACCTTACTTTTTGTTCATTAAAATGGAATTCAATGTTTAATTATTTTTCTCTCTTAATAATTGTGATCATGAGTCAATTGAAGCTAGACCATCATGTAAAACCTAGAAGCACTGGATTCATGATCTTAACTATTAGAATTACTATAATATCCACAAAGCCCCTTCCGATATTATTCAACATAAGCTCAATAGTGACTGACTTCAAGAAGTATTACCTGGAGTTCTAGTGAGAGGCTTTCCATGGTAATCTAGCTTCAATTGACTCATGATTTCAACGATTGAAACCACTGTAATATCCACAAAACCCTTGTGATATTTCTATTGATGTTTGTTTCACTCAGAACATATCTGAACTTGAACAATCAAGATCACTTGCTTGATCTTCAAGATTCTTTTTTTAAGAACATGTTTATTCACTTAACTTTGCATTACATTGCTCTCATTGAAAATAAGTTGATCAGGATTTGGATCTATAACCTATTCTTTGAAACCTTAATACTTCATTACATGAAACCATTACGAAATGCACAATTAATCAATATTAGAATTGTCACAGTTGATTTCACGAATTGATCTTATCTAAACCATTACTAAAAACCTAGAAATACTGGACAACCGTTTCATCCCAGTATGTGGCTCCTCAACAGTGTGCATCCATCATCCTGTACATGGAACTCCACTACAATTTCTACAAAGCCCCATACTGATAATATTAAGATTGACTTGAACGTTGAACAAGCAACATGTATAAACTGAGTTGGCTGTACTTAAACTAGACAAAGTAAAAAGGAGTATTTGTGCCTTTTTGTATAAACATACATATATATATATGTGTGTGTGTTGGTAACATGGTTAATTAATGTTTTTTTATTAATGTCAATAATGTAATTGTTACCAGAAGCCGATATCATCATCATAATTGTTATATCGTATCCCTTGTTAATGTTTTGATTAAATCATTATGATGTAAGTAAACTATTACTATTACTATAGTAACAATATCCAGGTCATGTTATTAGTAATTATTATTATATGTCTAGAAAATCACTACGACTGACTGATTGAACGAAACCCAAACAGGGGAGGAGGAGGAGAAGAAGAAGAAGAAGAAGAACAATATCTCGACTGTCACATGCGCACATGCACACACGTGTGTATACACTTACATAGATTGAGAACATAAGGGAATGGATGTAGAACATTAACTTTCTATTGATATTATTTAGTTTCATCATAATGAATAACGAATACTACTGAAATCGCTTCGCTGATAATAGTAATATATTAACATCTATTCTTAATAATTAATCAAGACTTATTGTGCTTTTTTTCAAATGAAATATGATTGTTGCATTACGTGATATAAAAAAATGGTAGACAATTTAATTTTTCCCATATGATACATCAACACACACACACTGTGTGTGTGTGAGTAGTGTGAGAGGATAGTGGTTAGTTCATATCTCGTTCCCCATTGCCTTCAGTCTTTCATTCTACGTATAAATTTATTCCATGTTATATCCAGGTTGATAAGTTAGATCATTTAAAGGGGGGGGGAATTGTCAGAATAAGTTGAAAGTTAATAAATAACATCATTGATGTGATTGGAAATTAATTAATTAATTACAATGTCTAAATAAGTAGTAATAGCTGTACATATATGTATATATGTCTAAATAATTAATCATGTACAGTAATAATGTAGTTGACAAAAAAGAGATATGGATAAATGAATTTTTTTTAAAGCAAACATGGATAGTAGCTAGTAGAGGAATTCAGTAAGACAAGAGTTTTGTCCTATTTTGGAGTTGTCAGATAAATGTACCTGCATGTTCACTTTAGGACTCGAAACTAGTACCGTTCACTTCAAATGCCATCATGTTATTTAGTTATATACTGAATCCTGATAGCCACTTGGTTGTGCAATCAGGTATTCACTTGGTGTTGTTTACTTGTATCTTCCTATTGTTATTTAGGACTGAAATTGGTCAGAGTGAACATTAACTCTGAGATGCAGGTACATCCAACGGATGAGTCTCAAATAGGAGAAAATGCGTGTCTTGCATTCCACTACTATACACTATCCATCTTTACTTAGAATGTTTGAGACTTAAGGCAATATCAAGACAGTCTGTACAGGATGCACATATGCTAACAAGAGATTGATCAGTTGCAGTCCTAAATAACAGTGGGAATATACAAATAAACAACATCAAGTGTGAAATGATTTTTTTATTATGAACTATTTCCTGGGTAACCTTTTAAGAAATCATTTGAATTTTATAAGAAATGGGCTTTTGTGGATATTATAGTAATTTAATAGTTGAGATCATGAGTCAATTGAAGCTAGATCACCATGGAAAACGTTGAAGCACAGGACGACCGTTTCATCATAGTACGGGACTCCTCAGTAATGCGCTTCCACGACCCCGCCTCGCGGGACTCGAACCCATGACGTATCGGTCTCTCACGAACATTTAACCACTGAGCTGGTATCCAACGGTGTCAATGTCTAACTTCAACAATTGTGCCACTGTCCACCATTGTCTTCACTGAGTTACTATCTCACAACACATCTAGTTGAACTCCATATTGGTCTAGATTTAATTGACTCATGAATTCAACTAGTAAAATATCTTTTAATTTATACAGAATAAGGGGATTGTATCTAACAATCAAGTCCATAACACTGATTTCATTCTATTTAGAACCCTTCAGATGGATGCACCTGTATCCAAGTGTTAGTATTTACATTCAAACTAGAACTCAGTAGCTTTCATTTCAACAAGTTCAGTCATACAGATACTATGAATTAGTATCCAAACATCAAATTATTGATCTGTTCATGTTGAGTATTGCCCAGTTTCATATATTCAAAGTTGATTAGTAACCAGATAAATGATTTATTGATAACTTGGTAGTTTATAAACAGTTTTCAGATTTATTATAAGTTCATGGTAAAGTTAAATTATAAGAGTGAAGTGGAGGGATTATGTAAATGATCTTGATACTTGTATGATTGCATTAAAGTTGATATCAATTCATGATAAAAACAAACTTGTACTTAATTAATGAATGAAATTTCAAAATGTACATTTTAGAAAAGATCAAAGTTATCCATAAATTACAATGTAAACATTAAAATCTGTTTATGAGTTAAAATTCAGTCAATAAACAGTAATTCTTCAAGAAGATCTTTTATCGGTAGATGACATGCTGTTTTATTATGTGTAGTGACTTTGAAGTTATATTCATGTTCATCAATAACTCTCAGTTATAGTCCAGCTGCATCATCATCCGAGTCATCATCATCATCATCATCCGAATAGTCACCACCATCATCATCATCCGAATCATCATCATCATCATCCGAGTCATCATCATCATCATCCGAGTCATCATCCGAGTCATCATCATCATCATCCGAATCATCATCATCATCCGAGTCATCATCATCATCATCCGAATCATCATCATCATCATCATCCGAATCATCATCATCATCATCATCCAAATCATCATCTGTAATCTTTATCTTCTCATTTTCATCGTATAAATCGAAATATTTCCTGTAGTAAGTATCAGTTTTCTATGGTTTTAACAATAAAGTGACTTAAATCATTTCATGTCATTTTATTTTATTCAGAGAGAATATATTCCATTGAATAATAATTTAATGACTTTTTGTATTATGATCATTATGAAATTTAGAAGGAATCAATCTGACTACAATTAAGAACAAGATTGTAAATTACCTTTAAAAACTCTAACCAGAACAAGTTATTACGTATTTTTATAACTAAGATTAACTTGGACTTGAGAATCATTGAAAGTTAGGAAATGTAGTTTGTTTTGTATCGACTCAGTGTTTATGTGTGTGTGTGTTAATTAATATTATGCACTTCACGGTATTGATGTAGTTTTATTCTCTGATCTGGAAGGCTTGATCGTAGAGTTTTCATAGTTCTTCTGAACAACATCATTAGCACAAACTTCAAGTAGAAGTCTATAGGTCATTGATTTTGATCCTTTGCATGTGTATGTGTGTGTGTAAATATGCCTAATAGTTGTGGCTTTGAAGTAATCCTCCGATTTTTTCAAAATATACCCACAAAATCTGTTCAATACTTTCTAATGTTCCATGGTTTTCTTTTTCTAGATGATAATCGTTTACTCGCAAGTAATCAATTTTGAAGTTAATCATGGAGATCAAGTGAGAACCTATGACCAGTGGAATTTGACCCAATATCACAAATGGATTAAAGTTAGAAATGTAAACTATATGGTGCTAGGCAATGATGGATAGTGGCTAGCAGTGGAATCCAGGACGCGCATTTCGTCCTATTTGCGACTGGATGTACCTGTATCTCAGAGTTGATGTTCATTCTGGGACAGGAGTTTGAATATTAAGTTCATCTTAACGAGAATTTATAGTCTTACGTTCGATTCATGATGGAGTCGTAGATACATACTTTTGGGGACTAGATCCATCTTATACTACAACTAATTGGCACTTTTTTTAGGGATTGTCTGCTCATCATGATCAAAACTTTTGAAATTACTATCCTTAAAATTTTAATCATTCTAATATTCAAATTTACAAAAGAAGAGCGAAAAAACAAAGTAGAGAAGAATGAAAAAAAGAAAACAAGTGAGCAACATAGAAACGATACATAAAATCAAATAGTGGATTAGAGTTTGTTTTTTTTTTGTTTCACAGTTTTTCACATCTATTTACTCATTCATTCATCCGTTCATTCATTAATTTGCTGTCATAACACATAACCATGATGCATATATAATGGTTGATGTAAAAAAGAAACCAGTATAGAGAAAAACATAACAAAAAAAACAGGATAAAAAAAAGAATACTGTTTCATCCTTGAGTAAATTGTGAATTTTCCATTTGTTTGTTTGTTTTTGCCTAGAACTTTTTAGAATTTATATCGATTAATGGTAGATCACGATTGAAAACTTGGATGTACTAGATGACCGTTTTGATTTTCATTGTGGGACTCCTCAACAATACGCATTTGTAGATTAGTTAATGTTAGAGATTAACATTGTGGTCTAGAGATTAAGTGTTCACGTGCGAGAGTGAAAACCCTGAGTTTGGATGCTGCGAGCAGGATCGTGGATACACACTACTGAGGAGTTCCATAATAGGACGAAACGGTCGTCCAGTGCTTTCAGGTTTTCAATGGCTGTTTAACATCAATCAATTCATGATCTCAGTCAAAAACTTAATAATCTCAACAACCCTATACTGATAATTTCCATGTGCTCACTAGTGACTAGTTTCGTGAGGGAATTCTCGGAGTTCAAATGAGAAGCCGTGACCAATGGGTTGAGGCAGATATCTACCTCAGTACATTAGAAGATGGTCGAACAGTTGCGTCGATTGGTTGAAGCTAGGCATTAATACCTATATTCTAATGGTTTAGATCATGAACCGATTGATGTTATACCATCATGGAAAACCTGGAAGCACTGGATCGCCGTTTCATCCTATTGTGGGACTCTTCAGCAGTGAGCATCCGAGAAATTATATTCACTTTGTATGGAAAAAATTCTCATGAAGAAAATGATGTTATTATGTACAGTTGTTGATAAATAAACAGTATTTTGTACAAAAATACCCATATATATTTGTATACATCGATTTCCTCATATTAACAAATTGACTTGAACTACAAATATGAACCCTTAAATTCTAACTCAGTAATGTGAAGTGAACATAGTTGCAGTAGGGTTTCGTGATTCTGTTTGAGATTCATGTTGGTACTGTAAATTCACACGGTTGGGGAATCCCGTGATCAGTTAGTTAGTCATTAGTAATATTATTGCATGGAATATGTGTAGTAGTAGTAGTAGTAGTAGTAGTAGTAGTAGTAATAATAATAGTGTTCAACCGGATCTGTTTTGAGATAGTAACTCACTGATGACAATGGTGGACGCTGGCGCAATTTCGTGAATTGGTTGAAGTTAGACATTAACGTCATTGGATGCAAGCTTAGTGGTGTAGAGATTTAGCGCTCGTGCGCGAGACTGATAGATCATGGGTTGAAATCTAGTGAGGCTGATTCATGGATGCGCACTACTGAGGAGTTCCATAATAGGACGAAACGGTCGTCCAGTGCTTTCAGGTTTTCATTAGTGGTCTAGCCTCAAATGACTCATGAATTCAACTACCAAATTACTGTGATATCCGCCAAACCCCTCTCGGATTATAAAGTTTTAGTTTAGGAATCGACAGCTTTCGAACTCTTCATAACATGAAACCAGTTATAAACGATAGAATATAACATTACAGTTTATTGGTATTTGAGTTATTTAAGATTAGATTAAAATAGCATAGTGTTCATATAGATATTACAAGTAATTTAGCCTAGCCCAATCAAATTACAACGTCATCAGTCCGAGCAATCAGATAATAAGACATTGCTTATAACCAAGTGAATAGTTATTAAAAACATGACCGAACTTCAAGAGATTAGTTGAGACTTGAATAGTTTGGCAGTAATCTCATATGTTTAGCTTGAATCATCAATTTTTTTCAGTGTTTCAGATAAATCTTACTGACAATTACTAAACAGTTTAACTAGATCCGGGAGTATTTACCAATTAAAGAATGTGCAACTAAGAAAAAAGGTTCTTTGGAGTAGACAGTTGGGTTTTTTTCAAAGATGTATTAGCTAATGTTTAGTCATTAAAGATAATAAACAGGACTCTTTTGCTCTTATCAGGAATGTACATCTTCAATCTTGACAGAACTGGTGCTCACTGCTGTTTAAATATCTCAATAGTGACATCGATTGTCATATTAGAGAATATAATTTCGAATCCAACAAAATACATTAGTACCTTCTGACTGTATACAGCCACCTAGAACTAGAATAAAGTAAACTTTAATGTACGACTATTCACCTAATCGAATACATTCAACACCTGGTCGACAAACTTCAAACAATCTTATAGATTAGACATCCGTCTCATTAACCGGGTTGGTGGATATGGAGTTGGAAAACTTTGATTTCAAACCAATAGTGCACATAGGCTACAGTATCCTGAAGGAACAAATGGCGTATGAATCAATCGTTGACCACCGCCTACCAACAGACTGCATCTCCTGACATTGCTCCACTGCTTTTTGCATCAGACCTTTAGGTCGAAGGCTCCGGGTGTGACCCTCTAAGAAAACCATCTGTTTCGGTCTTGGCACCTGGGCAGTATCACAGCCCATACACAAATCAATTGACTTGTGTGGCGGATATGTATTCGGTGCCCTTTTGTATCAATATTTATATGTTCAAATATTATAGATTAGATGATAAGCTTGGTAATTACTACCTCAATGACCAATGGATACAGACAGTAATTAGATTTTATCAAATAAAACCTCTTACCTACAGATCCTATTGATTCATTAACAGTTCAATTGAAAAATTACAAAATTATTTTAGACAACAATTCATGGTAATTCTTCACTGACTGGACTCATTTCAAGTATTATTGAAACTAGAGGATACTGGATAGTTGTTTTGCTCTTGTATGGGACTCCTTACTAATACACTGTTATATTCGGTTGTCGCTGATTGCGCTGATCACTTATACTAGGAACGAGGGACCTCGGCAATTCCCACGATGCGAAAGTAAGAACACACAAAACTGGTATAAGTGATGATTTATTAGCCCCAAAACACAACGACGACGACGACGAATCAAAATAGTCTAAAATACACTGACTTATATATTGATTGTACACCCATTCTGATTAATAATTACGACGAAATCACATACTCAGTTATAACAAATCACTAACTGAACATAGTTCATGTCAATGGAATACAAGAATATGGGAAAACAATCAAATACTACACTGAATGATCGTCATGTTGAATCAAAACGGATGTTGAATGTTGAATAAAACTCATAATGAGTAAATCAATCGAAAATTGATTTTTCTTCCCATCATATCATACACACTTATGAAGCTTCAAAGGATCTAGATGATTTCTTGAAATTCTATTGAGAAGTCATGATTTGATGGGTTCGAACATGTTACAAGTGAAACAGCAAAAACTAATTGAATTGGATAAATATCATGCTATAACATGAATTGATTGAAGTTGAGACTGTGTACTATTGAATGTGGATTGCGTCATTTAATAGTCTAGAGACTACTGTGAAACCTGCAGGCATTCGGTTCAATTTTCAAACGAGCCTGAGTAACATTCCAGGGAGAAGGTGCTATCCAGTACTACAGGATTTTCAACGGATCCTCAAATGAGACCAACCTGTGAAGAATACCGTTTATAATTGTTTTATTCAACATTATGTATTTAGTTACAATAAAGAATCTTCAGCAAGAAATATTTGAGACTTCATTAAGTTCCACTTTAATGAAACTTTGATGCAAATTAACAACAGTCTTTCTATGTCAGTAATTTACTGCCTTTTAAAACTAGTAACTGTCAGTAGGTGGTGGTATGATTATTTTTGGAGGTGTTATATTCTCTGAATTAAATTGTTGAATTCTAAAGTGTCACAAGGAAAGCCCTCACATGAAATCCTCAAGGCAAAAGGAAAAGAGGAAGACCAAAGAACACATTACACTGAGAAATGGAGATAGACATGAGGAAAATGAAAAAAAAAATTGGACAGAACTGGAAAGGAAGGCCCAGGAAAGAGTGGATTAGAGAATGCTGGTCGGCGGCCTATATTTCATTAGGAGTAACAGGAGTAAGTAAGTAAGTAAAGCTTTCGTTGTTTTTTCTAAACAACAGCACAAAATAAAGTGAGTTGTTATTGACTTCTTCATAACTGA